AGATAAGTTACTCTTGAAGAAAGAATGATCCAGATCCTGAAGGTTGCTGCTTGTGTCTCTTTAACTGATACTGTTTGAAGGTTAAAATCTCTTTGCAGATTTTTCCCCCTTAGTAGATTGTGATGCTCTGATAAGAGCATGTAGTGACTGGTGTGAGACTGGGCTGGAGCTTTGGTGTATATGCTTTTGCTGTACAAATGAACAGTTCTCATACCTAATGTAGAAATGATGAATTTCTCCTTTTTAAAGGTCCTCATCAGTGATACTTGTTTCTGATGAGATCAGAAAATTCACACTAGAAAAGTGGTTCAGTGTGAGCTCTCTTGAAAAGAGGAAGAGAGCAGGGATAGAGCTTAAGAAACCAGCTCTGTGTGAATTGTATATCAAAGTACCTTTCCTTACAAGGTGCATATAGGAATCAAAGGTAAGAAATGTACCCTCCTCTATACTTTGTTTTTAGTACCCCTATCATGTTTGGTGTGCCTTAAATCTTACCTTTAAATGAAGACTCTCTGGATTGTTTACAGATGAAGTTTTACACTAGGGCCAGATCATTCACAAATGGTTGGTCCTTTACAGTAATCTTAAATTCTCTTTCATTATAAATCTTCCCTTGTAGTCACACAAAGATTGATTCCTTTAGAAAAGCTAGTGCTTTGGTATATGGCGTAGTCTAACCAATTGGGTAGTGCTGCTTCAAAGAATAGCTTGTCCTTCTCATTTCGAAAATGAATCCATCCATTTGGGAAAAAAAAGGTTGCCTTCCCCTACTATTTGTAGATGATTGCCGAGACTTGAAATGGGAAGGGAGAAAGAAGGGCTAGAAAATCTCCAAGCCCAATGGTGCATTGAATCATCTGAGTCTCTTTTACAATTACTCTGAAGCTAGTGAACTTTCATTGTCATGCAACCTCATATTTAAAGAGCTTTTGAATTGTTTTGTACCTTGTTATTTTTAACCTATCTTTGAAGATTGAGATCTACAAATTATATTGAATTTACCTTTTTTCCCTCAGAGAAACTGCCTCTTACTATCTTTCTAATTTAATCTTTAGTGTGTTCTAGGAACAGTTTTCCTTCAGAGGACAACTTCTCAGCAATCACAATAGTCATTTAGTAACAAGTAATGTGTTAATCAAGCCTATGTCCTGTCCAACTCTCATTCCTTAATTCGCAGTGATGTCTTAGAAGTGGAAGGAACAAAAATTCTTGGGGTGTTTAGGCTTCAGCAACAGTAGCCAGTGTAGCACCTCTTGAGTTCTAATGCATTCTAGCCTCTTGTAATCCTGCAGGGCAGCAGGAACTTTTTTGGGAGGGGGCAGGGTCACACTGATGTTGTCTTAAAGCATAATTTTCTGTGTTTTATGGTGCTGCCCTAAGATATTTTCTCTTGAAAACTGTTAATTCTTGGAGAAACAATGTGTTAAGCTTTTCATTGTGGAGGATTTTCCCCAAGTGGAAGTGGGCAATGGATCAAAATTCTATCCTAAATAATTGAATTTTCAATGTTATAGTCTATGAGAGCACCACTCTCTTTCCTGTATATCTATCTTCTCACTTGTTCTGTCTGTGTCATCTGCTCTAGCACGTACCTTGGACTCTTATAGGTGACCATTCTTCCCTCCTCAGTAGGTGTCCTCAGTGTTTTCTAACCATTTAAAAACCGAATTTGACAAGTGGCTATAAACTTGCTTAGTCTGAGACTTGTATTTAATATACATTTAATTATAGAAAATAGCAACTATTTTGAGTTTCAGAGCAGCCAGTGATTGCTCGAGTCAGTGATGCCTAGCTGTGGAAGAGGAAGGGGTACGCTGTGCACTCTTCTAGTTATGAGGGTATGCAACTTTGAGCTTAAAATTATGTACACATACACACTTTATATATATGTATGTATGTATGAAACATGAAATTAGTTTGTCAAATGTGTGTGTTTAGTATTTTAGCTTAGTGCAACTATTTCCACATTATTTATTAAATTGATCTAAGACACTTTCTTGTTGACACCTTGAATATTAATGTTCAGGGGTGCAATGTGTATTCCTTTAGATTGTTAAAGCTTAATTATTATGATTTGTAGTAAATTAACTTTTAAAATATATTTGAGCCCTTATGTAGTATAATTGGGCTCTTACAGGGTGGGAAGGATTTTAATTTTCCAGTAGCTAATTGAACAAAATGGCTTCATTATGTATTTTGATTTATAGGAGTCTATTTATAGGTGTCTGGGTTCCAGGAACATCTATTGGGAATGAGTGTTGTAGGCAGAATGTGCTGATGTTTTTAAAAAAAGAGTAACTTGGGGAGCCAGAACATTTCAAATCCATATATGACTCCTATAACTTATATTCCCTAGTTATATGGAACACAGATTTCATTTCAGCTTCACATATCAATGTGTTGGAGAGGCAGATTTTTCCCCCGTAGTAATATTGCACACCTAAGGTTGCTATTCAGTAAAACCAATAGAAGAGAATAATATTGATGTTAAAGCTTAATTATTATGATTTGTAGTAAATTAACTTTTAAAATATATTTGAGCCCTTATGTAGTATAATTGGGCTCTTACAGGGTGGGAAGGATTTTAATTTTCCAGTAGCTAATTGAACAAAATGGCTTCATTATGTATTTTGATTTATAGGAGTCTATTTATAGGTGTCTGGGTTCCAGGAACATCTATTGGCAGAATGTGCTGATGTTTTTAAAAAAAGAGTAACTTGGGGAGCCAGAACATTTCAAATCCATATATGACTCCTATAACTTATATTCCCTAGTTATATGGAACACAGATTTCATTTCAGCTTCACATATCAATGTGTTGGAGAGGCAGATTTTTCCCCCGTAGTAATATTGCACACCTAAGGTTGCTATTCAGTAAAACCAATAGAAGAAATAATCATTGAATGTCTTGGAAGATGCAGTGTCAAGAAGCCAAATTGGTCATGTTGTGGAATATTCACATACTCACTAGTGGAGAAATTGGGTTTAGAATTAATGGACCTTAAAACCAAGCTGGCAAGTGACAGGAAGTAAGTTATTAAAAGTTAGTAAAGAGATGCTTTCTTACTAAACTCTTATTTACATGAACCCTGCAGTTAATTAAAAAGAACTTGCGGATTGGGTTGTGGCTCAAGTGGTAGAGTGGTTGCCCAGCAAGCATGAGGCCCTAAGTTCCATCCCCTGTACTGCCAAAAAGAAAAAAAAGAACTTGCTGTGTGTCCAGAACTAGAAATAATAGTTTACAGGAATGGACCTCTCCTTGCTACCATCGCTCAGCTGAACATAAATTACATTTTAAAAACAAAGATAGATCCCTTACTTGAGCATGGGTAAGTTCTGACCCAGAAATTCTAGTATATTTGGTTTTGACCTCTTACTGCTTCCATGTGGGGTTTCTTTTCACTTTTAATCATTGGAATTTTCTACCTACCATGTTCCTATCTGGAAAGTATCTATTTGGAAATGCTGCCTTTCAAATCAGTGACATAATTCTCCATATTGTTGAGTTTGTTGTTGCTGTTCAAGAACTGTCTCCATTTTACAACTTTCTGCACACACCTGGCAAATCATTGACATGAGCATTCCACAGTACTGGGATTGGGGTGGGGGGTGGGGCTCACCAACAAAGATGGTTCAATTAGCTGTGCCTGCAAAGGTACCGCTCTTGAGGACCACATGTGGGGTTGGTAAGCACAGTTATGAAAATTTCTATCTAGCCTCCGTTTTGAATGCTTTTAAGAAATTTTGTATAAGGAGGTTGGAAATGCTTATATATTTATTAAAATCCTTTTATTTGAAATTAAAATTATTTGGTAAAGGTTTGATATTGGGGGAGGGTTTTGGAGGGGAGGTAGCTCTATTGATAAATTATAAGCCTATTGATTCCACAGGAAGGTACTGTCAGTGACTAATAGGATGCCTTTGTTTTGTGAATGATCCAAATCTTTGTTTCACATTTCTTTTATCCAAAATATTTAGGCATCTGACATTTTCAACCAAAATTTCAATTATATACTGTGATTTTTATTTGTTGCAATACATTAAAATTTCAGAGGTACTTTGGGGCTCAAAAGCTAGGATTTCTAAGTCAGTATGTGCATTTCACATAATAAAGCTGTTAACGGTGAGCAAAGTATTATATACTAACTAGATTTTTCCACATCTGTATAGTATATTATATGTATTTTGTGGTATTGAGATTATAGAAAGTTTAGAGTGTCAAACATGCGTTTAATGTGTATTTTTAAACAAATTTATGGCAATTAAAATATTTGGAGACAAGGGTATCACATTTCAATTTGTAAAAATCTTTTTAACTCTACTGTGTCATTAAGATGCTTTGTATAATGCCAAACCATAGCTGGAGAAACTAAGTTTAATAAATATCAAATAGATTTTCTGTATTAAAGTTCATAAACACTGTTCTCTTTATACTTCTTCAATTCTTTGCCCTTTTCATGCAGTTGTTTTATATTTTAGGGTCTATTACTACTGTTTAAAAGTGTCCTCCTCACCACCACAGGTCTCATTTTCTGATTACAGAAATTTCTGAACTTGTTAATGGGTCCTTGAGTATATATGACAGTTGCTCTGCCCCAACAAATCTTGAATCCTTTTTGATGTTCTTGTTGGTGCAGGGTTTTTCTGTTTTATTTAGATTTATGCTTGAGTTCCACTTTACATTCAGAGAATCATAGATAAACTTGTGCACACCATCAGGTGGCAAGTGCCAACTGCCCATCTTGACACATCACTGAAGAGTGCTTTACATGGAGTAAAGGTCCAGGATCCAAGGCCACAACTTAGCTATTGTTAAATTTTTGCCTTTTAACCTGGTGTTTTCTCTATATAAATACAGATTCTTGAAAATATGTTAAATCTCATAATCCCTTCCAGATGGAGAAGTTAACACATCATTATTAGGCAGTGTTGTTATTTTCTATAACATACAAAGTGAATCCTTTAAGTTTGAATTTCAGACTGCTAGGATTTCAATTTGAGACATTTAATAGTATCCATAGAAAAATAAACTCTGAACTAATATATTAATCTATATAGCGACATTTTAGGAAGACATGGAGACCAGTTTAAAGCATGCATCTGTCTTTAAATATTAAAAACACAAGATTGCTTCACTTATGTATCTCCAGCCAAAATGCAGTTCATCAATATTCCATAGAACGGAGCATTGTTGGGAGTTGACTGTTGTCCTTTCTTCCCCTGGTATGTACATCATTCCTGGGCCACAATTAGGGAACAGCGTCTTTTTCTAGGAGGGGAAAAAGGTGTTTTAAAAATTGGTTGGGGGCATGGTTCAAGTGGTTGATGGCCTGCCTAGCAAGGGCAATTCCCTGAGTTTCAAACCCCTGTTCTGCCAGAAAGAAAGAAAAAAAAAGGTGTAGGCGTGCCCAGGGCCACCTCTGCTGTGTTTCCTCTTCTCTGCTCAAGCTATCCAGTCTCAGGAAAGCAAACTGAGTAGTTCTTGGCTGTTAATTCCTGAGCTCCTCAGCTCTGACATCCATCCCAGCTTTATTCTTAGGTCTCTCTCCTTTTTTTTTAAATCTTGTCCCTGCCCAGCTTCCCAGGGCTGTTTGTTCCAGCCCTGCCCCCAGGTTTATGAAGTACCTGCATAGCTTTGTGATACACTCAGAATCATCCCTGCATGAGGCTCCGATGGGCCTGAGAGAAACCCCTCTCCAAAATGGAGTCATTCTCCGTGACCTTCTGTTTGCTTGACTCCGTCTTGGTATTGTGGAGCCATCTACCTACAGAGCAAAGACAGACAAATTCACCTCAGGTATGGAAGAGTAGACACTCCACTGCGCAACTTGGAAAGGGACCATTTCCAGGATACTGGAGACTCAGTAGAGGAACCATTCTTCAGGACTGTCTGGTGCTCAAGTTCTACTTACAGTTCCACTGCCACTATCACGTCCAATGTACACGTTTTCTTCCTTACCTGGCCCAAAAGCAGCAGGCAGATCATGAGCGCTGCAAGGAGTTTGAGGTGCCACATCTTGGGAGTGGAATGTTGCAGCCTGAAAGCCGGGGACCGTTCCCACTTCCTTTTATAGACTGACATCTGCCTTTTTCATGGTGGCCAGGTGATGGGGCAAAGTTTATATTTGTAATCAGGATTGATTTAATAAGTTAATGTCTACCAGAGAAATGTGCTCAAGGGCTACCTTTCAGGCACGTTGCATCTACTGATCTCTCATCTGGACTTTGAGTGACTGTGTTGCTGGCCTGGACCCTCTCACCCATTTTATCAGAAGTCAGCACTGCCCTTCCTTCCCCTTTGAAAGCCACGTGAAACCACTGAGGGAGACCAGAAATCTGGCTTCTAAAATAGCTCAAGACTGGGAGTGTAGAGCGTGTGCTAAGCATGCGTGAGGCTGACAGTTTGATCTCCAGCACAAAGTGGAGGAAAAAAAGTCTATAAAAAGTAGCTCAGTGACATCACTGAGTCAAAATAGAATTCTAATAATAAAGTTCAGAAATAACGTCGACCTCTTTGAACTTTTGTCTAGGCAAAAAGCGCTGACCTATGGCGTAGAGGCAATTGGATAGGGCCCTTATCTCCTCTCTGTGGGAGGATACTTCAGTCTACAGAGGTCAAGGTGCCCTATTTACATAGATGGACTGTCACCCGGATCTGCCCCAGTTCATCTTCCTAGTACAGTGAAAAGAGTCAGCTGTGGAAAATTCAAGTTGGGGCCTACGTGCCGCCTTCCAAGGGAAGAGCAGTCAGTACTGACGGGGAACTTTCTTGAACTATGGGTACAGTGAATGATTACAGGCTAGTGTTTTGGTTTATGAAAACCTATGAATAAGGAGGTAGCACAAGCTCCTGAGTCAGTGCAAAAGCTTGAGTGTGACAAGTAGCATTGAATTACGGGTTTTATTCCTAGTAGTTGATGGAGCCTTGGTAGAGCATTTCCTACCAGCACTAACAGGGCAACACGTATAAATTGAGATAACGCCAAAGCCTGAAACATACATTAGTTTTTCTAGAAATCCCTGCAAGTTTCTAGACCAAAAGACATGTATTTAAACCATCAATAGATAGTTGTAGGTACTGGCTGGGCACTTATGGCTCACATCTGTAACCCTAGCTACTCGGGAGGCAGAAATCAGGAGGATCTCATTTCCAAGACAGCCCCATGCAAATACTTTGTGAGGCCCTATCTCGAAAGTACCCAATACAAAATGGGGCTGGCAGAATGGCTCAGGTAGTAGAGTACCTAGAAAGCATTGAGGCCCTGAGTTCAAATCTCAGAACCACCAAAAAGAAGTTACAAGTACTCATTAAATAACATGGCTTTTTTTTTTTTTCTTTGAAAGAGTCTTGCAATGTAGATCAGGCTGGCCTCAACCTGGAGATCCTCCTGCTTTAGCCTCCAATATCTGGAATGACACATGTACACCACATGCTGGCCATGAGGGAAAGTTGAATTCAGGGAGGGCGATTCATGGGACTTTAGACCTTCCTGTGACCAAGGAGGATAATAAACCAAGACAAATGCAACAAGATTTTCTGTCTGCTTTGTATCTCACTGAAAACTTGGCTAAGGCTTTGCACTTTTCTCATCTTCACCGGTTGAATATTTGGGTAAGAACCTGCTTGTTCCTTTATCCCAAGCAAAAATGGAAGAGAAGAAGCTGGGCACCGGTAGCTCACACCTGTAATCTTAGCTACTCAGGAGGCAGAGATCAGGAGGATCGCAGTTCAAAGCCAGCCCAAGCAAATAGTTCACAAGACCCTATCTCGAAAAACCCTATCACAAAAAAATTGGGCTGATGAAGTGGCTCAAGGTGAGGGCCCTGAGTTCAAGCCTCAGTACTGCAAAAAAAAAGGAGAAAATGCAGCAGAGTTCCCTTACAGATAAAACAGGATGGTCCCCAGTCCTTCGGTGAGATGGAGAGGGGGAAAAGAGTGGTATGATGGATGTGTGAGACATGACCCCACAGATCTGTCTCCTGATTCTAGTTCTCTTGGGGCCATGGAGCTAGACCTGGAGAGGGGCACCACACCTTGAACTTTAGCCAACCCTACAAACTGAAGACAAGTCAGACGCTCTTTCCCCTTATCTCTAAGGTTGGATACTGCATGGCCCCAAGTAGGGAACTAACTAGGAACTTTTACAGGGTTAGGGAGAGGATATGGTGGTGACCAGTGAACACTGAGTAAGAACACAGAGCCGATTACTGAACAATGTGATGTCGTAGAACCAGTTGGGTCTGTGAGCTTAGTGCCAGTGATAGGCAACCCATCCAAGAGATGAGTTTTCTCCTAATCTTCCATTTCTGACTTCATGTGTTCTACGCAAAAGTCAAACTAGCTTTTGCATGTGGGTAGGGGGCTGTTCTTTGTTTTCTTTTTTGCAGTACTAGGGTTTGAACTCAGGGCCTACCTGCTTGCTAGGCAGGTGTTCTACTACTTCAGCCACTCTACCAGCCCTATTTCTTTTCGAGATAGGGTCTTGAGAACTATTTGCTTGGGCTGGGTTCAAACCACGATCCTCCTAATCTCTGCCTCCTGAGTAGCTAAGATTACAGGTGTGAGCCACCAAGTGCCTGGCTTTTTGTGTTCATTTCTAAAGTATAGTCAAGGAGAAGATCTGAAGCCCTAGGCCCCTGTGCATATGGAAAAGAACTGCTGATCTTCAAGGGTGTAACACTGCCAAAGCCTTCATGGCTCAAGCCTCTACCCACATGCCAGCCCTTCCCCCAAAAGAAAAGCCTGTTAGATGTCTGTGGAAGGAACCAGTACTAGAGCCCTGTAGTTAAGAGTTAAATTAAATGTGGAAGCTGGGGGGGGAGGTAGCTCAGTGACAGCATTTGCCTAGCATGTGTGAGGCTGGGTGTTCAATTCCCAGCACTACAAAAGGAAAAGGAGCAAACACCAAAACTTGGGAAGCAAAGTGGCATCCAAGCAGTGCTTAGCTGAACTGAGCAATTATCCACAGCTATCCCATACCCTGAGAGGTTATTCCTTAAATTCAAAAAATTCATAGGCTCACTGCAATCAAATATCTTGCTGACTGAATAAAGAACCACAGGCTCTGTCATAGAAAGGCCTCGGCAGTCTTTAGCAATTTTAATCATAAGGAGAAAGAACTCTTGATGGAAGGCAGGAGCCTCAGTGTGTGGAGTACGCCTGAGCACAGGCTAGCCCTTCCCTCTTTGGCTTTTAACAGTTTGACCACTCTGGATACAATTCCAGGGACTTTCTGCTTCACAGGTAAATGCTAGGATGAAACAGGAGAAAGAGGATATAGATACAAGAGCAGCTGTCTGAAATACTTCCCAGGTGAAGAGATCATTAGGGCTTGGCAGTAATTGGAAACTTTTGTTGCCCTTGAGCAGGAGGTGCCTAATAAAAGATGAAAGACTTTGAAATGGTAAAACTTTCCAGGTGAAATTTCCAACAAGGGGTCAAAGTGTGTTTGCTTGTTTGCTGGCTGGAGCTGGTACTTTTCTGGGCCTGCAGTAGGGAGGCCTGCATCTTGGACACTATGTTAGCAGGCTGCAGCCCATAGGTGAAAGCCTCATGGGGCTGGAACACTGGGAAAGAAGGGTTAAATGGAGCAAAAGTTATACCAAAACAGGTGAAAGAGCCACACAGGGCTGGAAGCTCCAGGTGGATGGGACACTGGAGGCCCACACCAGCTTCCCTTAAAAAGGCTTTACTCAAGTTCTCCCTTGTGGATTTCTACAAGTAGAATGGTCCCTAAAATGACTGCAGATCCCATATCATCAGCACTGGCACTGAGTCACCATTCACCCCATCCCATATACCCTCTGTCTTGGCACCCCTGCCTCACAAGTGATACCCACATCTCCAGGCTCAAGAGAGGAAAGCTTCTCGTGAGACAGGCTGAAAACCACCTTTAACAAGTTCAGCCATAAGCAGAAACTCAGCACCTCAAAGCGCTTGCAGCAGGGCCATCTCACAAGACCCAAAGGCTCAATCCTTAGTGTGAGCTGAGAAAAGGTTAAGTTTGAGCTGTTATCTCCAAAGTAGTCAAAAGAACCAGAGAGAAATGATGTCTGGGAAAATGGAAGAGAGTGGTCATCTCCTCCAGGAAGCTTGAAGCAAAAATCAGGAGGGGGATCTGGAATACTTATTCTATTGGCTTTTACACCAGTTTTAACACCTTCATCGTTATGTTTAAAAAAATTAATAAATTAAGAAACCATTTTAAAGTTACAAAAAAAAAAAAATCAAGAGGGAGAAAGCCTGTCAATGCAATGGTCCTCCTCTGGCAGTTATTCTGCTAAAATGCTCCAAGGTCAGGATGGGTGCATTTATACCTCCTTCAGGGTCACTGCTTTAATCACATTCTCATAGGACTCTGACTCAAGTATGTGGCAATAAATAAAGTAAGAAAATTGGCTCATTACTAGGAAGGCAAGAGTCTGCCTCAGCTGCTCGCTGAAGCCTATACCATCTCCCCAGATACGTGTATATCACTTACTTCACCATCCTCACTCAAGACTTTGCATTACCTTTCTGTTTTATGGGTGAGATGCATAGGGCTGGGGCATGGCTGAAATGGTAGAGGGAGGCAAGCATAAGAAAAATACAGAGTTCTTGCCTGTGTCACACAGGAACTGACAGCTTAAGGGCACGGCCCAAGTGTGTCACACAGTCTTTTCCCATACCCTGCCTCACAATCAATGCAATTTTTCAAATGAATTTTCTGTTCAGGTAATTTTGGTTCTCAAAAGGCAACAACAATCATTAGATATAAGATACATCCTGAGCCAGACTCTGAAAGTTGCTTCAGACTAGCAGCCTTAGAGAGGTTCCTAAAAAACAGGGCCACAGAATAAAACTGCCAACCACACCTACCCTACCATTGACATGTGAAGGGAAAATGGTACCTTTTTCTTTGCTAAAAAGGTAATTCATAGGCTCTGAAGCAGGGATAAACCTTTTCCTAAAGGAACAGAGTAAATATTTTGGCTTTATGGTTCATACACAGTTGCCAAAACTATTGTTGCCTCTGTGGTACAAAAACAGCCATAGTTTGCTGACCCCTGCTGTAGAGGCTATCAATTGCCCCATCCTCTCCTTTCACAGCTTACTCCTCTCCTGTTAAGGCCTTAGTTTTCCTCCTAAGGCCTTAGGAGCACACACTGGTGCCAGACTCTACCACTCACTACTGTACAATCTTGGGCAAATTACTTAACCTGTGTCTGTTTCCTCATCTGCAAAATGAATATACTAATGATACTTAATTCAAAGTTTGCTGCGAAGTTTAAAAGTTCATCTGTGTGGCTAAGAAGAGTATCTGACACACAGCAATTTAGTTACTCGGCTTTATGTTTACAATGGGACCAGAGGGCCAAGAACCAACACTTGTAGACTAAAGAACAAGGGGGAGTCTACCCCTTCACCAGAACCCAGACTAGGCAAAGCTGCTCAGGACTCTTGCTGAGGAGGGGAACATCATGAACTTGAATTATTGGCAGTCATGCTGAGGATTCTGCTCAAAAGAATGTAAAGTCACAACAGTGCAGCCCATGAGAGCTTTATTGTGTCTTCAAGACACTACAATACAGACTCCTCTTCCAGAGAAGGGTCTTTCAGAGGCAGGAAACCATCATCCAGATGAGTGGCTCATTTGTCATTTTCATAGGCAGCTGGATTCTTCCTCTTGGACTTCTCAAACTCCTGGTTCCCCCAGGTGTAGACAAGATAAAATGCTATAAATGCTTTAAAAATAAAAGTAAGTAGTGAGTACACACAATATGGACAAGGGTCTCAGTCCTGTTTTCTGATATTCTTGGAAGATTTTTCCCTCCTGTTGCTCTCTACCTTTTTTTTTTTTTTTCTCGGTACTGTGGCTTGAACTCAGGACCTACACCTTAAAGCCAGTCCACCAGCCCTTTTTTGTGATGGGTTTTTTTTGAGATAGGGCCTCGCGGACTATTCGCCAGGGCTGCGATCCTCCTGCTCTCGGTCTCCTGAGTAGCTAGGATTACAGGCAAAAAACCCCTCAAACCTTTGATTTAATTCTGTTTTTTGGCAATCCTGGGACTTAAACTCAGGGCCTCACGCTGCTAGGTAGGTACTCTACCACTTGAGCCACTCCGCCAGCCCTGCTCGCTACTTTTTAAGAAACTACTTTTAAACTGGGAAGTCAAGAAAAGTTACAGTATACATCCATTTTACAAGAAACAAAGTTCACAAAGGAAAAGGTGTCACCCAATCTTCCCCATTCCCTCCATTTCATCGAAAGTCAGCTAATAGTAAACGTCACCACTTTACGTGTACACCGCCCCGACGGTTCTTAGCACATTACAATGTCATGCAACTGTCAGCATTATCTACCGCGTTCATCCCTGACAAGTGGATAAATAGGTGACCTCGGAGGGGAACGCTGGAGTCACGCTGGTGACCTTAGGCCAGCCGTCTCGGACAGGACTAGCTCATGGGCTGGCAGGAATACTCAATGACAAAGGTGTGTCCGGCAGGCTACAAAGAGCCCGCCGCCAAGGTCCTCCAGGTGCGCGTGGAGTCGCGCGCCCCCCGCCGCCGGCCCCGGACTCACGCGGCGCCACGCGAAGGATGCACTCCCGAGTGCGGCGCAGCATGTTGGGGACGCCCTTGCTGAAGTAGTGCGGGAAGGCGCGCTGCTCGAAGGGCGACAAGCTGTAGGAGATCACATGCCGCACCCGCGTCAGGTTCCCAAACTCGCGGCCCATGGCTGCAGCGGCCCTGCAGGACCGAGGACGAACAGGTGCTTGGTTTAGTCTCGGGACGCGCCACTGCTCCCCAACCCCAAAGCCGGTTTCCACACTCCAGCCCGGGAGGTGTCCCCACCCCCACAGCCCACTCGCGTGTTTGGGTCACCTCGTCCTCCACAGACGCCCAGCCACCGGCCACCGTACGTCACTTCCGTTGGACCAGGAAGCCGCTCCTGGAGGTGGTGGAATCACTTCCGGGAAGTACCATTTTCCTGTCGTCCCAAGGGGACGCCCGTGGGGGTCCAGTGGGTTTTTTTTTTTTTTTTTTTTTTTTTGCTTGTTTTTTGCTTTTGCGGCAAGGGATGTTGAACTCTGCGCCTCGCGCTTGCTAGACAAGAGCTCTGGCACTTGAGCCACACCCCAGTCCTTTGAACTCCCCCCAAACCTACAGAGAAGTGGCCTGGCCGGTTGACTGAGTGGGCCGTGCTTGGGGGCGGAACCTGCCGGGCCCGCAGGTGTGGGGTCTCGCGGAGCACGTGGAGAGCCAACGTAGGCGCTTGCTTCTTGTCCGCCGGCGCGTTTCTTTGGAGGCCCAGGGAGGGAGCGGCCGAGGTGGAAAGAAAGGGATCAGTTGACCTTGGGGGCCGCCCTGGCCGGGAGTTTGGGCCTGCGAGTCCTCCCAACTGTGCAGAGCGCCCCTGCCTAGCGGTCTCGCCGCCGCAGCAGAATACGATGTTTACGAGCTCTTGCCCAGTACCTGAAAGGTACCATCATCAACACCAGTACAAAGTCAGGGACGTGGATCTAGGGCTTCTTCTGATAACCTCTGCCATAGGATCCACTGGAAGGCTGTAGACTTGTCCGAGATACGATACAAACCTTTCTTCAAGCAGCTGGCAAATGCTGTTGGTCCCGTGGTAGGAGGGAAAGGCCGCCCGTACAACTGCCAGCTTCTTCCCCAGATGGTTTGACCTGGGGGGGTGGGCTCACATTTTCTTTCCCCTCCCCAGGGAGCGGAGGCCTTACTGTGTTTTCCCTGAAGTGCATTCTGCTTATTGATGCTACTGTCCAGCAGAGCTCACGGACTCTTCTACTCTGCGTGTGTCTGCAATGTTCGTCATTAGATTGCTCACTATATATTATAAAGGACTAAACTCTCAACAGTTTGGGCTAAGCAAGGCTTGGCAGGCAGTGAACTGAAATTTTGCAAAGTACCTCAGTTTGTCATCCTAGGTACTGCACAAACTGAATTTGTACCTTGTACTATGAGTGTGGGTTGCCTTTCTCCCAGCTGATAGTCTCCATGGTATACCTTTGTCTCATTTTTCTAAAATAATATGTAGCCTGGTCTCAGCTCGAAGGCAGGAACACAAATACAACAAAGGCAAAAATATTAGGACTGGCAGATGGCTCAAGTGTAGAGCGCCTGCCTAGCAAATGTGAGGCCCTGAGTTCAAACATATATATATATACACACACATACTGTAGTGAATTCTGAAATTTAATAAAAATCATGTATTTATTAGCACTTTCACCTCAAAACCTTTCCCCCAAAATATGTACAGGTGAATGTGTATACCAAAATAAGGATGCCAAGATAGTCATATTTTAAAACTAGTCAAAGTTAAAGGCAATGTCTTTTAAAACATTACAAATACAGTTGCAGTATGCCTTGTATATTCCCTATACTAAGCCACCTCAGAAGACAGAGCTGGCTGGCTCTCCTACTTAGGAATGTTTGTTAATTATGACCTTCCCCCCTCTCCAAATCAACATGTAGCAAACACTTATTTTAAGCACCTGGAAATGCCAGCAATAGGGAGGATGAATCAAGAGGAAGAGTAAAATCTGGTACTGGTGGCTCACACCTGTAATGGTAGCTACTTGGGAGGCTGAGATCAGAAGAATCACAGTTCCAGACTAGCCCAGACAAATAGTTTGCAAGACCTCATGTCCAAAATAACCAGAGCAAAATAGAGGGAGATAGGGCTCAAACTGTAAAGTGCCTGCTTTGCAAGCACAAAGCCCTGAATTCAAACCTCAGTCCCACCAAAAAAAAAAAAAAAAAAGTAAATCCAGTACCATAAATTGCATGCCAACAAATCTTAGTTTCATCATGAAACCATATCCTTTGGAAGTTTTAGGAAGTGCCTAAAGAACATTTTAAAAAATCTTGATTTCTCTAATCCCAGCTATGAAGGAGGCAGACCCTATCTGAAAAATAAAGCAAAATGGTTTGGGGGTGTGGTTCAAGTGGCAGAACACAAGTGCAAGATCCTGAATTCAATCCTCAGTACTGCCAGGTCTTAGTTTTTCTCCAAAAATTAGAAGTGTTTTTGCCATGCTGGGGACTGAATCTGCTATGTCAGCAAACTACTGCTGAGCTACATCCCCTGCCCTGAGAAGTTTTATTTTAAGATGATTCCTCAGCTTCTCTTAGATTTTTAGCTACATAACTGGTCTATTAGGATAATAACTTGACATGTTTTAACAGTTTTTATATCCTGCTGTACTTGGGTTTGAACTCAGGGCCTACACCTTGAGCCACTCCACCAGCCCTTTTTTGTGATGGGTTTTTTCGAGATAGGGACTACAAACTATTTGCCTGAGCTGGCTTCGAACTGTGGTCCTCCTGATCTCTGCCTCCTGAGTAACTAGGATTATAGGAGTGAGCCACCGGCTCCGGGATTGACAGGTTTTAAGTAAACGCCAGGAAAAAGGGGAGAGGAAAGTGACATAATCAGATAAATCTGGATCTAATGAGGACAAATTGGAAAAATACAATGTGATCAGCTGACTGCTATAGAACTGATAAAAACTGTCTTCAGCTAAGTACCCTTGAGGTCTGATTACAGAATTGATGCTAGTCTATCCACACACCTAGAATTTATTTAAGAAACCAAGTCAGGGGCCTCCTGGCCTTCAGAAAGAAGACTAACATGGTGAAATGTTTTCCTTGTTAGTTCTCCCAAGCCATGGCACTTCCCAGCAAATCCCTGCTTTGGTTTTGCTGCTTTGCCTGGCTGTGTTTTCCTGTTAGCCTTGGTTCCCAGGCTCCTAGGGGAGAAGCTGTGATTGCAGCTGGTGCTGAGTTAGAATCTGAGGCAGACCCTTGGTCCTTGCTGCAGCCTCTAGATGGGGCAGATAGACCTGGCCTCCTTCCTCCTCTCTTCAAGGTCCTGTCTGATAGGCGAGGTGAGACCCCTAGGCTACAGCCAGACTCCAGAGCTTTGTACTATATGAAGAAGCTCTATAAGACCTATGCTACCAAAGAGGGGGTTCCTAAGTCTGGTAGAAGTCACCTCCACAACACTGTCCGGCTCTTCACCCCCTGTGCCCAGCACAAGCAGGCTCCTGGAGACCGGGTGACAGGTGTGTAAGAGTAAATTACTTAAGTGGGTGGAGGGAAGATAACAGAGCTTGTGTTTTGTATTGTTATTGTTGGTTGGTTGCTGCGTAGCCTTGGATTTGAGAGTGTGCCTAAACCTGCCAAGGGTTATAAGGCATGACTGCCATGCCTGGTGACCAATGCTTTTATATTTCCATTACAGAAAGGAGCTGGATGTTGATTCTTGAATTATGTTTTAACTTGCATTATATTCAATATCAGCTGGTACTTGTTTTTGGTTTTTTTTTTGTTTTTTTGTTTTTTAACTTTTGTTGTGCTGCTGAGGATCCCAGTGCCTCACGCATACTAGGCAGGCATCTACCACTGAGCTACATCCCCAGCACTGATGTATTTATTTTTCTTGGTGGGACTGAGATTTTGAACTCAGGGCTTCATGCTTGCAAACCAGGTGCTCTGCTGCTTAAGCAACATCTCCAGTCCATTGTGCTTTGGTTATCTTGGAGCTGGAATCTCACAAACTATTTGCCCAGGCTGGCATTGAACCCTATCTCAGCCTCCCAAGTAGCTCCAGCACTGGTATCTAATCTTTTTCTTTCTCATGCCCTCATTAGTTAATAGGACTAATACGACAGAATCTTAAAGCTCAAAGAGACTTAATGGCTTTAAAGGCCAAGGAAAGTACTGGAGAAGGTTAGCAACTCTTTCTGATGTTCCAAGCTATTGGCCTGGCAATGTGCTACTCTAATATCTCGTTATAGTCAGTGATGTGTTAAACAGTATATATTCCCTTTGTTCATTTTTTGTGAGAGGAAAGCTTTAATCTCCATTTGCACAGTAGGTCCTTAGAAGAACAAAGTGGTAGGAGCTGGGTGCTGGTGGTCACGTCTATAGTCCTAGCTACTGAGGAGGCAGAGGTCAGGAGGATCAAGATTTGAAGCCAGCTTGGGCAAACAGTTTGCAAGACCCTATTTTGAAAAAAAAAAAAAACAAAAAACCAAAAACTGTCACAAAAAAGGGCTGGCGGAGAGTGGCTCAAGCAGAAGAATGCCTAACAAGCATGAGGCCCTGAATTCATACCTCAGTACCACCAAAAAAAAAAAAAAAAAAAAAGTGGTAGGGCTGGGTTGCTCAGTGGTAGTTTGTGCTTAGCATTTTTGAGCCCCTGGGTTTGAGTCCCAGCATGAAAACTAACAAAATAATCAAAAATAAAACCAAAAGGCTAGTCAACAGTTGAAGTGGTTGGGTGTCTTACATATGAGAGGAATGGTAGTACTTTAAAACTATATTCAACGATGTAATGAAAGCCATTCTAACTACACAGGGCTGTTGTGCCAATTAAAAACCCATCCATCTTCAATATTCTATTTTGTGGTAGTGGTATCATAGTCTCCATTTGTTTTCAGTTTCAAGGTCCTAATTAACTGAAGCAGTCAAATGTTTTTAATTGAATTCTTTTACTGTGGCTTAGGATGTCTTAATAAACCTGGTGAGTTTTGTTTTAAATTACAGGTTTCACTATAGAGATTCACCAAAAGAAAACTACTTTCCTCATTAGCTTCCTCTGTATTTGGAGCAAATTGTTAGGACTAAAATTTCAGAACATAATGGTTCCCAGTTGTTTTAATTCTCTGTCAAAGCTGTTCTGAATTTCTGGAGACAAAATGTGCATTCATGGTTGCTGGCAGTTAGTTATGGTACCAATTACCATTTCTGTGTTTTCTTTATTAGCCCTCTCCCCTTGTTTTGATTAAGGAAGTGGAGGACAGAAGGGAAAAATTGCATATTAGGAAATATCAATTCCTTGATTTGACTTCCTGTTACCTCTGATTGTATGCAACACTACTAGTGAGTTGCTTTTCTTCTCAGGAATCCTCTCATCAGTGGACCTGCTGTTTAACCTGGATCGAGTGACTGCCGTTGAACACTTACTCAAGTCAGTCTTGCTATACACTTTCAACAACTCGGTTTCCTTTCCCTCTGCTGTTACATGTGTGTACAACCTGGTGATAAAGGAGCCAAAGTCTAGCAATGCTCCTTCTAGAGCCCCATCCTCATTTACCTTTAGGAATCACAAATGGATTGAGATTGATGTGACCTCTCTCCTTCAGCCTCTTGTGGCCTCCAGTGAAAGAAGTATTCACATGTCTGTCAATTTTACATGTAAGAAGGACCAGTCGAAGCATCCGTCAGCACAGGATGGTCCATTTAACATGACCCTTTTGGTGCCACCCTCACTAATCTTGTATCTGAATGACACGAGTGCTCAGGCTTATCACAGGTGGTATTCCCTTCACCATAAAAGGGGTTCGTCACAGGGTCCTGACCAGGAGAGGAGTGAGACTGCTGTGGGTGAAAGATCAGCCCGTCACCGGAGAGGTCAAGAAATCATCAGCCCTGAATTCAAGAAGCCACTGGTTCCAGTTTCCTTCAACCTGAGTGAATACTTCAAACAGTTTCTCTTTCCCCAAAACGAATGTGAGCTCCATGACTTTAGACTTAGCTTTAGTCAACTCAAGTGGGACAGCTGGATTGTGGCCCCGCACAGGTACAACCCTCGATACTGCAAAGGAGATTGCCCAAGGGCAGTCAGGCATCGGTATGGCTCTCCAGTTCACACCATGGTGCAGAACATCATCTATGAGAGGCTGGATCCCTCAGTGCCAAGACCATCATGTGTGCCCGGCAAATACAGCCCCTTGAGTGTTTTGACCATTGAACCTGATGGCTCCATTGCTTACAAAGAGTATGAAGACATGATAGCTACTAAATGTACCTGTCGTTAACATGTGGCCCTCCAAACAAAACCTTGAGCCTATCTGGCAGAGTAAGTGCTGTGTGCCTAGCTGAGCCTTAGGAGAACATTTCTCGTGTTAATTCCCTCAGGGTAATGCGGTGCACATTGTGGAAGGGGTGCGTGTGTAGACTAGAACAGTCTCTGGCATCTATCAGCCTAAAGGGAAAGTATCAGATGTGACTGAGCCTTTTTTATTTCCCAACTTAAACGTCATTACTTTAGAGAGGTTTAAAGTTTTTTTCTTGTAGTTTTTTCTCCCCACAGAAGTCTTATTTTTGATGGAAATCTTATTAGCACAAATCTTGGATGGAATTGCAGATGTAGACAATTCAGTGTTGTAGCCTTATATAATAAAAGAATAAATTCCAGTCAATGACGCAGATGTGTGTGTGCTATTGAAGATCGCTTTTATGTGGTCATTTGGTGTTGGGGGGCGGTGAGGAAACATGTCTAACAGTTGATCTTGGCTTGACCTCAGCTCTTCCCCCCCCCCCCCCCCCCGCCCAGATCCTGGTGAAATGAGATTCAGTAGGACTAGATGCAGCTGCATTTGTTAAGTGTGATTACTCTACAGTATACTAGTTCTGCTTAAGTGCTTATGTAAATCAACTAATTTACGTAAAACAATGATCTGTCTCATTAATCTGAAGGAAATTGCCTTGCAGATTTTTCCAAGAAAAAGTATGTTCAAGTTTTTTTTTTTTTCTTTTCTTTTTTGGTGGGACTGAGGTTTAAACTCAGGACTCACACTTGCAAAGCAGGCACTCTACTGCTTGAGCCACAACTCTGATCCATTTTGATCTGGTATTTTGAACATGGGATCTTTTGAACTATTTGCCCAGGCTGGCCTTGAACCTCAAGCCTCCTAATCTCACCCTCCCAAGTAGCTAGGATTACAGGCATGAGCCACCAGCACCACCAGCATTGAAAATATGTTCAATATTTTTAAAATGTATTTTCTCATATGAGTTGATGGCTTCCATAAGGTGAGAAGTTAAGTTTTGTTTTTTCCTTCTATTTGCTTTTTGCTGGTTTTTCTCAGTCTACCCTCAGACTTTTCTTTCAGGATGGCAGTGACTATATTGTTACTAACTGGTTTTATGTGGAACCAAAGACTGGTAGCCCAGGCTGGCCTCAAATTCTTGAATTTCCTGCCTCAACCCTCCTGACTGCTGAGATTAGAGGCATGCACTACCATGGTCAGCTGGATCTGAAGACTCTTATATGGGTTTTCGATGTCTCTTACCATGAGAGAGCCCTGGAGGTACAGTTATAGCTGATGCAGTGGTTTAGTGTTTCATAGTTTCTAAAACCCTAATGTGTAAACCAAAAGTAATTCTAGATGCAAGAAGTAATTTTTTGTGTTTTTTTTTTTTTTTTTTTTTGAGACTGAGTCTTGCTATGTAGCCAAGGCTGATCTCGAACTCCTGTTACTCTTGTCTCTACCTCCAAAGTGCTGGGATTACAGATGTGTACCATCACACTCAACCCAGAGGTACTTTTCCTTTTTTCTTTGGTAGTACTAAGACTTGAACTCAGGGTCTCACTCTTTCTAGGCAGGTGCTCTACCACTCTACCAGCCCTTTTTTTGTGTGTCGGGTACTTTCAAGAAAGGGTTTCATGAACTATTTCCCCAGGCTGGCTTCGAATGGCAATCCTCCTGATTTCTGCTTCCTGAGTACTTAGGATTACAGGAGTGAGCCATCAGAGCCTGGCTTGCTTTTCATTCTTGTAAATGACCTGTTCTTAGTGCTGTATTTTTAGCTTTGAGATATAATTCACATGCCACTATATTCCACCCACTTAAAGTGTATTATAGTATAGTCATAAACATAGGATGCCATCATCATTCTTACTTTTTAGAACATTGTTGAACATTGTCATCACCTTGGAAAGAAACCCTGTTAGCTGTCACCCCTGATTCATGTCTTCCACTCCCAGCCCTAAGCAAGCACTAACCTATGTCTATAGATTTCCTTATTCTGTATTTTAATTTGAATGCAGTCACACAACAGGTGGTGTTTGTGACTGACTCCTTTCACTTGGCATGCCCTCAAGTTTCATCTATATTGTAGCATGTATCAGTACTTCATTTTCTAATGGCTAAGTAATATTTGTATGACTATACCAAATTTTGTCCATTTATTGATGATTAAATTTTTTTCCTTTTTGTGAGGGGAGAGCTATTGTGAATAATAACACAAGTACAAGTCTGTGTTTCATTTCTCTTGGGTACACACCTAGGAGTAGAACTGCTGGGTCATATAGCACCTGCTTGTCATCTGAGCATCTGTTGGACTGTTTTCCAAATCAGCTGCACCATTTCACTCTCACCACCAGTGCACAAGGTTCTGATTTCTCTACATGTTCTTAACTTTATCTGAATTTTTTCTGTTTATTACATTGTTGTACTAGGGGTACATCATGACATTTGCAAAAGTTCTTACAATGTATCATGGCTGAATTCACCCCCTCCATCATTCTCCTGTATCTTTCCCCTCCATCCATTTATCTGACTTTTTGATTCTAGCCATCCAGGTGCACAAATGGTATCTCCTTGTAGTTTTGATTTGTATTCTCCTGGTTACTAATGATGTTGAGTGTGGGTTTTTGGTTTGTTTGTTTTTTTTTTCTCGGTACTGGGGTTTGAACTCAAGGCCTATGCCTTGAGCCACTCCACCAGTCTTTTTGAAGATAGTCTTGCAAACTGTTTGCCCAGGCTGGCTTTGAATTAAGATCCTCTTGATCTCTGCCCCCTGAGTAGCTGGGATTACAGACACAAGCTACCAGTGCCTGTCATGTTTTTGTGTTTTTAATCAGTCATTTGTGTGTATTCTCTGAAGAAATCTATTCAAATTATTTACCCATTTTCAAAGTAGATTACTTATATTTCTACTATGAGTTGTAAGATCTTTATATGTTCTAGATACAAGTTCCTTATATGACATTATTTCCAAATATTTTTTTCCCAATCTATGGATTTTTGTTACTGTTTTACTATTTTTTTTTTTTTTTTGGTAAGACTGGGCTTTGAATTCAGGGCTTCATGCTTGCAAAGCAGGCACTTTACTGCTTGAGCCACAGCTCCAGTCTATTTTGCTCTGATTATTTTAGAGGTAGCATCTCACAAAGTATTTGCCAAGGCTGGGTTTTAAATGTGATCCTCCTGATCTCTGCCTCCAAAGTAGCTAGGATTATAGATGGGCATGAGCCACCATCACCTGGCCCCATTTTAGCCATTGTTAAGCATACAAGTTAGTGACATAAAGTACATTCACTGTTGTCCAGCCATCACCACTACCTAGCTCTAGACTTTTTTCATCATTCTAAGTTGAAACTCTGCTCATTAAGCAGTAGCTCACCATTTCTCCCTTTCCCTATTCCATGTTATCGTCACAAATTAGACTCTTTAGGTGTGTCCTATACATGGATTCATTCAATATTTGTCCTTTTGTGTCTGGCTTATTTCACTTAGCATAATGTTTTCAAGGTTCATATTGTATGTATCAGAATTTCATTTTAAAGGATAAATAATCCATTTTACATGCATATATGTATATAGATCCATACTTTTGTTCATTCACTTGTTGAAAGGCACTTGGGTTGTTTCTACCTTTTAGTTATTAATGCCAGTATAAACACTGGTGTACAAATAAGTTTGGCTTTCCTTTTTCATGTGGTGCTTGGGATCAATCCCAGGGTCTCACGCATGCTAAGCAAGTGCACCCCACTGAGCTACATCCCCAGCCCTCTTTCAGTTCTTTTGGATCCATTCCTAGAAATGGAATTGATGGATCATGTGGTAATTCTTTAATTTTTTAAAAGTTTTTTTTAAAACTTCATCATTTTGCATTTTTACCAACAATGCACAAGGATTCCAATTTCTTCACCTTTCAGCCAGCACTTGTTTTCTGTTTGTCTTTTAAAATATAACACTCATTCTAGGCTGGGGGTGTGGCTCAAGTGGTAGAGCACCTGTGGAGCAAGCATGAGGCCCTGAGTTCAAACCTCGGTACCTCTCCCCCACAAAGCCATCCTAATGGTTGTAAAATGGCTTTGATATACATGTTCTTTTGGGGTTTTTCCCATTTTTATTTATTATATTGTTGTACTGGGGTAATTGTGACATCTACAAAATTTTTTACAGTATATCATAGTTGAATTCATTCCCTCCATCATTCTCCTTTATCCTCCCTCCCCCATTCCTGGAATAGTTTCAGTGGGTCTTATTTTTCCATTTTTCCATCTAAACCAGAGCATAAGGTTTCTACCACATTTACTCTCCTTCACTCTTCTATCCTCCCTGATACACATTTTCTTGATGACTAATGATTATTTTTCCACGTGCTTATTAACCATTTGTATATCTTTGAGAAATGTCCATTTAGGTCCTTTGCCACTTTTAAAATTTTTTTAAATTGAGATTTAAGGGCTGGAGTATGGCTCAAGAGGGTACCTGCTTTGCAACTGCAAAGCCCTGAGTTCATACTCCATCCCACCTCTCCCCCCAAAAAATATTTTTAAGAGTTGGAGATTTGGGTGGGGGGATCTCTTGAACTCTTTACCCAGACCTTGGAATACTGATCCTCTCAATCTCAGCCTCCCAAGAAGCTGGGATTACAGGTGTGAGCCACTGACCCCCAGCTTTCTTTCTTTTTTTTTTAAGGTCCTGGGGATTGAACTTGGGGCCTCATGAATGCTAGCACTATACCTTGAGCCACATTCCCAGACCTAATATTAGCTTTTATGTTTAGATTTCTAATCCAATTTGAGTTAATTTTTGTGTATGGTGTGAGGTAGACCTCTAACTTCACTTTCTTGCATGTGGATATCTAATTTTCCTAGTATCGCTTCTTTAAAAGTCTGTTTTTCCCATTGAATTATTTTGGCACTCTTGTTGAAACTCAACTGACCATGGGTGAATAACGTTTATTTCTGGTCTGTTCCATTGCTCCACATGTCTTCACACCAGTATCAGTGTTTTGATTAGTTTGTTTTTAAATCAAATATTCTATTTGCTTCCAGGATTGTCTAGCTGTTATAGGTCCATTGTGAATCATAAAACCATCAGGAT